GAATTTGTTTTATTTGTAAATAGCGCTTATATCGAACGTTTGTCATTCAAACTTTTGTAACAAACTTTTTTTCTAAATTGTCATTCATATATTTAATTTTTTTTTTAATTATTTAATCTTACTGCCTGAAAGAGATTTTAAAACCAATTTAAATATTAAAAAGTCGCTTAAATCACTTAAGGCGTATGTAAAATAGCTTTATGCATATGTAAATTACATTACACATACGAGCTGCATAATGCTGTAAAATGAGGCCTAACGTTTGAGCGCGTTCTATGAACATTCTATAGATGTTCTGAAAAAATGTGTATACACTATCAAAACTTGATGTTTAAAAAACATTGCCACATTTTAAATTCTGGTTTGCATAACATTTGCTGCAAACATTACGCAAACCAACTTTAGTAAACTCCATTTGACAGTTCTTGAACGTTCAATAAGAACATTCAAATAACAAACAGCAAACATTTACTTAACGTTCACTGCATGCATTATTTTGATAGCTCTTGATCATTCAATTCAAACACGCATTGACAAACACAAAAGTTTATGCAACATTTTTCTTTTCTTTTTAATTTTTAAACATATAAATGCTTGTTAGATGGACTTTCTGTTTAAACCTACACTTGCTAGTTTTTGTGTAATGTAATGCTTTTTTGAACTTACATAACCCTTATTTATTTAACAATTAATCAACCCTTATTTATTTAACAATAATTTACATAACCCTTATTTATTTTAACAATTAATTACATAACCCTTATTTATTTAACAATTAATTAATGAGTACTTAAGTGAAAACTTATTTGTACTAACAAATAAGTTTTTACTTAAAAATACAAAAGAAACTTAAAAAAAATACAAATTCACAACTAAATTGTTAGAGCTCATGATTTAATCATTACATTTTAACCACACAATTTAAGGCACACAATTACCCTATTTTTTACACTAATAAGCTTCTTGTTTAAATTTGACACAGAAAAACTTGCCTTAGTCGCATGAAGGAAGTACTGTGAAGTTTTTTGCAATAAATTGAAAATTTATATTTAGCATAAATATATATATATATATATATATATATATATATATATATATATATATATATATATATATATATATATATATATATATTGTATAAGGTTATATTGTTCCATTTTTTGTGTTTTTATTTTTTTATTCTCTTATTTTCTTGTATATTTTCTTGTCCTTGTGAGTCTTTCAGTTGATATCATTATTTAAAAACAAATGTATGATATTTACTTGTTAATAAATTGTTGTTGCTGTTCTTGTTGACTAGTATTTGTACTTAAATTTGATCTTCATATCTGCCAAATAAAACAAATTTGAGCAGTATCATAGTTTAATTATAGGTGGTATTAGGTGGTATTGTTTATGTTAGATAATTGAAATAAATGATTTATTGATAAAACATACAATTTAATAGTATTATTAATGTATAATTTAGTAGTATATAATAGTATATATGTATTTAAATTATATACATATTAAATACTTATATTATTTATATACATATTATACACATATATTATAAACATGACTATTATTTGTACTTGTTCACTCTGACAACTACGTGTAAGTTATTATTCGTACTTGTCAGATTCGTCTAGTCAACTCTGTCAAATAAGAATAGTCATGTTTATATATAGGTACACGAAATGCTTTACATGCTAAAATAACACTTGTTTTGTTTAATAAATTGTTATGTTAAAATACTTTAGTTATGTTTTAAACTTAATATATTATATTACCATACTTGAAAACAGTTAAAATAAAGCAGAACAATATGCATTATCAGATATTCAGACCAAAGTGAATGATAGCTAAGCTACCTCTTCAGCTACAACCGCAAAAAAGCAACAATCAAAGCCACAACGACACTGAAAGAAATTTGTTTTGAAAAAACAACTACATGTTGTACCAATGATGGTGTAGATGTTGAGCAACAGTTGTTTTCAAATAGTACTTGTAACAAATTCTATTTATTCCAGATAAACATAATGCATGACAAAGTTGCAATCAACCTATGAATAACAAACTTTTTTTCATTATAAGCATTAGAATCTGAATCAGATTGAACAGGAAACTCTTTTTCCAAGTTGCACTAATATTAGTACACTAATTTAAATTCATAATTAATTCTGATGCTTGTGATGAAAAAAGTTTGTCATTCAAAGATTGATCACAACTCTGTCATGAAATATGTTTATCTGGGATAAATAAAATTTGTTACAAATACTAGGTCTTCTTGATAAAGATAAATTAGACAATTGATTTGACTTGAAAATTGCAGTTGCCTGTTTCAGTTATGTAAAGCAATGTTTTAGGAATCATACCAGAGTATTAATTTATAATATGTTCATTTATTGTAGTTTGTATAAGCTTTTGAAGTGCCTATTTTAGTGGTTCACATATAAATCTGTTTTTATATAGAACTGACAGTTAATAACAGTTTAAGTTTATAAATAGCACATTCAAGTCATTTATAAATAAAACTAGCTTGTTTATCAAAACCACAAATTGAAACTATTGTTTATATTATTTTTAGCTATATTTAGTTAACTTTACTGAATGAATAGAGTATATCACAGTAAATTAACTTATAACCTAAATCAAAACAACCAGTTAAGTTAAGATAGTAACTTACAGTTACTCAAGTATTAATTTAACAATTATGTTAATTTATTTAATATACTCGCAAAAGTTAGCCATAGGCATGTTTCAATTTAGATCTTAATGTTGTTAATACATAATATAAGCTTTTAACTAATAATTATTTTAACAAAAATTGTCGAATAGAATATGAAAAACGCGACACCATTTTTTTATATTTTCATTTTATTTATCATCTAGACTAAACATTTTCTATAAATACGCAAGTTGTTTTCAGGAATTTTTTTTAAAAATAAATCTATTTGAACAAGAGAACTTTAGCCTTAAAATTCACTTATTCAAATAATTTTGTGATTGAAATTTGAAATTGAAAAAAAAATTTAAAATTGAAAAAAAGTTTGATGAAACAAGGGAGAATGAAGATAAAAGGTTTTTTTTCGTAAATCGTAAATTTTGTTAAGGTTTTGAATTATATTTTTTCTTGAAAATAGTTTTAAAAGTAGAAACATTCTATTGCAAATATCAAAGCAGTGATTGCAAATTGCAATTTAAAATAAAAATTATAAAAAATTTAAATTAAATTTAATAAATTATTTCACTTCTGTTCAAAAAAAATTGAATGAAAACATCAGTTTAAAAACCTTTTGAATGAAAAACTTAATCATACTTAAATTTTTAATAGTCTGTATGATCAGGAAACAATAATTTATAAAAGACGTGGTATCTAATATTTTTTTGCCTTGATCTTACTTGTTTGGTCTATAGATTATAAACTCGTATAGGTCTATAGGCGCAAAATATGAAGTTTTGTTTTAGTTTATTAACTAGCTCAATTTTATTTATTTGCTTCCTTTTATTTTAAATGTGTTTTATTTTATAAACTGTATAAATCAAAACGAAAATGAATTCGCGAAAAAAAAATGTAAATTTTTTTTTTTTTTTCGCGATTAGATTTTTTTGCATTAATTCGAGCCCTGATATATATATATATACACACACACACATATATATATATATATATATATATATATATATATATATATATATATATATATAAAACAGATAAATATATAGAAAAGATTAATTCAAACCATCAATTTTTGAAATGCAATTGCCAGATAGGGTCAACTCTTGCAACTTCATACAGCTTTCTAAACCCTGAATTTAACAGAAAATATGGAGTAATTACCAAGCTATTTTGTAATTTTAACTTTTTTTTTTTTTACCTCAATCTTTGTAATGTCATTGTTATTAAATGACGCCCACTTTAGATTCACCAAATTTTCAATATTTGAAATTTTACTCAAGTGATGATTGGCCAGACACAAGCATGTTATCTGAAAATGTTTTCAAACTATGGAAAAAAGAGCCCCATACGTTTGTATATGTATAATATAATAAAAATTAATTTCCACTATTTTATTATTTATATATTTTAAAATTAAAAACATTAAAAAAAAAACAACGTAAACCCAAAAAAAATCTATGAAAATTGTAAATAATGAATAAGTGCATCACAATCATTAATCATTATTAAATTAAAACCAAGAAGTATTTATATCTACTTTTGCCATCCATTTCCCATCTTGTGGAGAACATTTAATTGGTCTCTTTTCACTGAGCAAAATTAAAGCATCTACAGTATTTTCCAAACGTAAGGAGAGAATTTCTTTAATATCAGTGCATGAATTGTTCAGTATAGCAACTGATGTAATGCGTGAAGAAGAAACTAAATGCAAAGCTGTTTGCAGTTCTTCCTCTGTCACTGGTTTTTTATCAATAACTGTAAGAGTTCGTATACGACTGATACAACGAAGTCGTACAGTGCTGCTCTTCAAATAAAAAAAGTAGACTAATGAAAAAATATTTAAGCATTAAAAATGATTGAATTTTCTATAACAGTTACTATTTTAAAAGCTTAACAAATTAAATACCCTACATTCATCCAAGGATTGTGAGAAATATTTAAAACTTTTAATAGTGGAAAATAATTCTTCAATAGCGTCACTTCATTTCGCGTATGGCAAAAATAGTTCCATGTAATGTCCAAATGAGATATATTTGGCATAATCTAAAAACAAACAAAAAATTTGTACTGTTTAAAAACTTTAAAAAATTTTAAAACTAATATATTTTTATTGAATTATTATTACAAATTTTTATTTTATATATCTCTATAACAAAAACTTGAACTTGATTGTTTTATTAGAATATCTCAGTTAATTAAAATCTTTATTTCTTTGATAAAATTGTGTATTCAATATCTTTACTTTGGTTACAATTAATAATATCTTCATTAGTAAGAACATTTTTTATGTTTTTGAAAAATGTCCTTTGGACAGATGAGTCTAAAATCAATATTTTTGGTTCAAAACCCTGTGCTTTTCTACGCAGACATACAGAAAAAAAAAATTCAGAAGACTATTTACTTTCAACAGTAAAAAATAGGGGTGCATCTGTCACTGTTTGGGGATATTTCATACTGCCACCTGGTGAGAGATTATTTTAGAATCAGTTTATGCACAACAATGATCCGAATCATAAAAGTAAAATCTGCAAAAGGTATTGAGAAGATCTTCAAATCAAGCAAATACTAATGACCACCACAATGGCCTGATCTTAATCCCAATGAGTTACTATGGGAAGAACTTTTGAGAAAAGCAGCCATTATCTATAATAACCTTTGGCATATAATGCATGTAAAATAGATTGCAATACAACTTGAAAAACTTTGTAAATTGATTAATTTATTGAATGCTGAAGATTTGCGCAGTTGTAATAAAGAATAAAGAAAGTTATTTAACTATGTCAAATGAAAAATTTAATTAATATGAGTTAAAATTAGAAATTATTAATAAATATGTTTAATAATATTTAGTTTTTGTAAACACAATAAATAGAGTAAAAATTAGACATGAAAAGGTAAAGATTTTAGTAATAAAGTTAGTTGAAAATGATCATTAGTTCTAAAAAATGATTATTAGTAAAAAAAAAAAGTTATTACATCATTAGTTATTAAATTAATAAAATAAAAAATCAAGTTAAAAATATTTGTATTTTTTCATAACTTAAAATACAAATATTTGCATATGTATTTATAAAACGCTGATTACATATATTTGTATTTGAATTTGTATTTGGGAATTGAGAATCATCATACATGAATTTGTTTTGTAATTCATCAACTTAGAATAATGGAGCTAAATATCTGACCGTACCTTTTTGCATCAATTTCTTGCAATAATAAACAGCCGTTAGTTCTAAGGAGAGTTGTTCTTTTCAAAAAGATGAAAAAAAAAAAATGATTACGATTAGACATAGCAGCAATCATGGAGTAGAATGAGGTTTTACTTAAAACGGACAAGCAGAAATAAGAGCGTCTATACTTGCCTGAATCCAGAAGTTATATAGGAGATGCATTTATCAGCTGAGAGAAAAAAGACATCAGCCCAAGGACCATTAAGAAGAAAATCACAAAAAGAATCCCAGTCAGCTTTAGGGTAATAGAAGTAGTGCGATAAAAGAGTGAATTTAAAAAAGAAGTAAGAAATTATATAATATGACCATGCAATTATCTATATAGATATATAGATAATTGCATGGTCAGAACCACCTAAAGGAGAAAAAGGAGAAACTGAACACAAGATAGTATCAGAGACAAGATATAAATCAAGGAGTGAAGGTAAATGATTAGGGTTGTCAGGAAAACGAGTCACAAAGTTAACTATCTGAGTAAGAGATTAAGAAATGCAGATTTACAAATCAATTTGCAAAGCAAGTACTCTACCACTAAACCACTTCTGCATAATGAAATTAAAAAGAATAAAATAAGATAGATAGAAAAAAAAAAGTAAATATATAACGAAAAACATAATTTTGATATAAAAACAAAGATAATGCGCAAATTATAAATTGAAATACAAAGTAATACCTTGAGACCTTCAAAGCTTTCTATTTGATTAAAACTAACATCAAGGTACTCTAAACTGTTCTATAAAAAAACAAAAAACTAAATTTATTCTAAAAAAATTAATAAATATTTCATAAATAAAAAAATAAAAAACCTTTTTAAATATTTATTAGTATGATAACATCAAAAATAAAGAAAATCTTCATTTTAAATCAAAAAAACAATAATAATGATGGTGATAATATAAACAGTATACATAAAACTATTGCAATAAATACCATTCCATTTAGTTCATTTATTGATGTCAGCTCATTGAAACTCAGCACAAGCCTTTTTAAGAACTGCAAAGATGATAGCAATTTGACACGTGATAAACCACAATCATGTAAGTTTAACACCTTTAATTAAGAAAAAGATTATTCAGATATGACTAAAAAGCTTTAGAAACTTTATAAAGTTATACAAATATACATATATATATATATATATATATATATATATATATATATATATATATATATATATATATATATATATATATATATATATATATATATATATATATATATATATGTATACATAGTATACATTTTATATATATATAAAATGTATGCCATGTTATATATATATATAAATGAATACTATGTTTACAAGAAAAATTTGAAATTATTACTCATTTAAATCAAGAAAATTTACTGAATAAATAATCTGAATTAATTTCGAAATGCAGACATGAAAATAAGTTCCTTAGACAATATTACTTAGATATTATTTCGCCTTTTATTAAGCAGGTTGAAATGAGCTAAAAATTTGCCTTCATGAGAAATTATAAATTTCTCATGAAGGCAAATTTTGGATGTTGTTTTGATAGGTTTACAGCGTTTTATAATTTTTCACTTTATAGTGTGTTTTATGTCTTTTTCTTTTTAACTCCAAATCTCTTTAGAAAGTTTGGTTTTATTTTTGTATTTCGTGGCATTATAAGATTTTAAAAGATTTGCGTATTAAAGCTTAAATAGTATCTCACTGATAATATTTTCATCAATCACAGTAACTTTTTCATCAATCACAGTAGCTTGATAAACAATATTACTTGATAAACATTGATTGTTTAATGGGCAAGCGGCCTTTGTAATAAAGTCACGAAATCACTGTGCAAAATCTTTTTTTTTAAGGGTATGGTTGAAAAGAATTGCTACTGAGTTCAAATGTCATACCAAGATAATTAATTATTTTCATATTGCATTGGATGGGAATAAGAAGATTATTTTTAAAAATTTTAACAAAACTTTTTTTGATTTTCTCCATTTGGTGGTCATTTTGTTTTTAAATATCGCTAGCCCATTATCATAACATAGATCAAAATCATCTCTATTATTACACGAGAAAAGCTGAAATAAAAGCAAAAATTCCTACTAACTCACATACTTCAGCACCATCGTAATCGCCCATTGTAACACCAGAGAGTCCACCTTTTTCTTAATTCATGCATCTTCATTGTTAAAAAGTAAAGATTTTCTTGTGTGTCTTATAATGTTTTGCATTCAGTATTTATTATTAGATGTTCGGCAAAGTTGATTGCATTGTTAAGCATTTTTTGTTGAAAACTAAAAATTTGTAATGCTTATCCTTAATTTTAAAAAACATTTAAAGTGTTTTGCCATTGGTTAATAAATAACTTACTTGAGAATTTATTGTTAAATTTTGATAAAATAATTTTGCTTATTTTCCACATCTCATTTTTTGCTGGAATCAAAAGACTGTAGGGTTATTAGCAAATATTTCTTTGGAATTATTTAAAATAAAAACACATCCAGAAGACCCATTTATCTTGATTTTATCATAAACATCACGGTTTTGTAAAACATACTTTTCTTCATTATTTATTATATATTTAAATCAGAAATTATGTATGTATATTTTTTCATTCAATTTTCTTTTTCTTAAATATTTTTAAAAAATCTTAAAAATTTTGCAACTATTTTGTTGTGATTGCAAATAATGAACATAATAAACCTGTTTATGAATGAAATGAATTTAATGAACATAATAAACATGTTTATGAATGAAATGAAATTAATGAACATAATATACATGTTTATGAATGAAATGAAATTAATGAACATAATAAACATGTTTATGAATGAAATGAAATTAATGAACATAATAAACATGTTTATGAATGAAATGAAATTAATGTACATAATAAACATGTTTATGAATGAAATGTAATTAATGAACATAATAAAACTGTTTATGAATGAAATGAAATTAATGAACATAATAAACCTGTTTAGCAGTTTAAATAATTATAGTTATCATTAGCGCATTTATTTTATTGAGTAATGAAGAAAAAAATTAGCATTAGTAATTTTTAAAAACATATTTGTGCATTGTAAGCATTAGAGTGTAATAAATTACAAATCAATTTTTAAACTTTTTCAGTTTAGTTAATAATTATATAAAAATTATATTATATAAAAAATTCAAACAAGTTGATTAAATATTAAATGTTTAAAAATGTTAAACATCAAAAATACTTTGATGTTGACAAACCTCCATTTTTAATAAAAACTCTGTTTTTAATCCGCGCACATGAGCTATTTTAGAATAACATTATTTCAACCAGTTAAAGCTTTAGTTATTCAACTTTTTTTAAAAACCTTTGTTAAAAAAAAAAGCAATTATTTGGTTTAAAATTATGCCAAAAATAATACTTTTACAGCATAAAGTATTTTTTTATTTACAAAGTATATGTTATATGTTATATAAAACAAAAGTTAAAACACCGAAAAAAAATTACAAATGACCTGACAATAAAAACAGTTGACCACCTACCTTCAATATTTTACTTTGTGCACTAATATATATATATATATATATATATATATATATATATATATATATATATATATATATATATATATATATATATATATATATATATATATATATATATATTGTATGGGATATATATATATATATTGTATGGGATATATATATATATATTGTATGGGATATATATATTATATTTAGGAGGCCTCATAATTTTTTTTTTTGAAATTGATATCACAAACCCTTTTATTAGGTAAGGTTCAATAAAAAAAGTACACAATTACATTTTTGTTTTTAAACTGTAGATGAGAAGTAGTCCCACGGACTTGCTTTGTGAGCCATTTAAAGCCTCTTTTTTGTCTAAAATGACGTATTTCTAAAATTTACTAAAATGAGCTAGTTTCAGTGTTACATGCATCAGTTTTAATTATTATGGTAAAGGCAATTATATGAATGTTTATAGCATCGACCAATTCTTAGACCCAGTCTAGAGACACTAAGACACTAACTTGATTTTAAAGCCTTTTTAAGACTCGTTTTTGTTAAAAATGGCATATTTCTAAAAAGTAATAAAAACCAACTATCGTCAGTGTTACATGCATCAGTTTTACTTATTAGGGTGAAGACAAGTATGCCAATGTATATAAATTAGGTTGGTGGGAGACGTGGGTAGGGGGTAGGGGTATGGTACAAAAAGAGCTATTTTAAATATTAAAAAAAAAGTTCCTTATTCTTAAACATTTCTTTGTTTTTTTCATAGTTGTTATTTGTTAGTTTTGTTAAATGTTATAACATGCTGCTGGTAAAATCTCTTTAATTTAGCTATTATATGAGGCTTTGCTGTAGAAGGATTATTTGCTTTGAACCAGAAAATCATGACCTCATCTCCAACTGTGTTGTAGGAGAATGTGGAAAATAAGTAATCAAAGAGGAAAAACAAACACATATAAAATTAACAGTCAATTGCTTTTTTTGAACAGTCAAAATTTTTAATTTTTTCTTTATTAAATTGTTATCTTGTTATAAGTTCTTCATGACTGAACTTTATAAATACAAAAATACCTAATGTTTGAAAATTAGCAAATTTGTTATTTATTTTTCATTCAGTAAATAATATAATTATTTACTTGAATGAAAATCTTTTTTTAAAATAGAAACATGCAAATAATAAATGTTTTAACTACCTGTTTAACATTTTAATTACCTTAATAGTTTTAAAAAACTTTCGTGTGATTTAAAAGATTTTCATTCAAGTAAATAAAGAAAAATGATAACATCCAACAAATTTATTGCTAAATTTTTTTTAGATATATATATATGTGTGTGTGTATATATTTCAGTATTGTTTAATATATATATATATATATATATATATATATATATATATATATATATATATATATATATATATATATATTTATATATATATATATATATATATATATATATATATATATATATATATATATATATATATATATATATATATATATATATATATATATATATATATATATATATATATATATATATATAAAGAGATAGAGAGAGTGATTGAAATAGAAACACACTTATTTATTGACATTACGTGTTCAGCTAAAACTCAAATAATACAACAGATAAAAAAATTGTACATAAAAGGAAAAACTGATACCTACAGTTATTTTTGAAAGATTTGTTTGCCCTGACTGATGCAGAAGAAGTTCTTCTGTTAAAAATGTTAACCTAAAGAGGATGTATAAACAAAAAAATTTTCTTATTCTAATGATAAATACTTTTTATAATTAAAAGAAATGATATGACAAAAAATTGAATTTATGAATATTGAATGCAAACACAGATTATACAGTCTTTATATAAGGTTTCCAAATAATTTATTTGATTTCCTTTAAAATTGAAAAAAATTAGTTTAGAAATATTAAATTTTAACTTGAGTATTTAGTATTATTTTAGATATTTTATGTAACAGCTTATAATAAACTAACCTTGGTCTTGATTTTACTACAGGATCCATATTTATTATTTCTCGATCTTTAGCAAACTCTTTAGCATATATATCATTTAAACTTACTTTTTGATATAAGGGATTAACATCCATGCATGGTAAAATATTTGAAAACATATCCATCAAAGGATAAGTAGACTAAAACAAAAAAGGATATATATTTACACACACAACCCTCAGTTGATGTATGCTTTGAAGACACTACAGATTATTTGAGCATCAACTATTATTTAGATAACTGAGAGCTTTTTAAAATGAAACAAAATTTATATCATACTTTTTATTATTATTATTATTAATATATATATATATATATATATATATATATATATATATATATATATATATATATATATATATATATATATATTATACCTACATTTGTTTCATATTCAAAATTCACAATATATTCAATAAGAACCAAACTCGGATCAAACACAAACCATGAACACTGTCTTGTTGTGCAATCACATAAATTGTTTTTCCTAACATTTTGTTGACTTTTACATTCAGATGCTGTATGCTGCTTGCTTTTGTAAACAGAATTTATTCCAGGATATGATGTTTGGTTAATTCTAAATAATTTTACTATTTTTATTGGAACTGAAATCAGGAAGTAAAAAAAAACTATAAAATAATAAAAAAAAAGATATACCATAAAACTTTTTGACTTTTCATTTAATATGCTTTTTTTAGCCTATAAATGTTTTATTATAATAATGAAGATACTTTATAATTCAATTAGTTTAATTAAAAATTGAGTAAAACTTTGACAAACTCATTTTATATATATTGACAAGGTAAAGCACTCTAAATTAACTCTGGTTAAGTTTTTATCCAAGCTCAAATATCTCATTATGAGATATTTGAGCTTTGATACTCGGATTTAAATTCCTCATTACAATGTGATTAAAGGAGGAGGAGGATGTTAATTTTTCTTGGATGGTAATTTTTCTAGCTGTAGTTTGACGATAAAAAAACAAGTTAACTGATATATACATACTTATATTTGCAGATTTAGATTAACACTGTATAATTTTTAGGGAAAAAAAGGGAAAAATAAAAGTGTTTTAGTAGTTAAAAGAGGTATAGTACTAGTGTTAGAGGTGTTCAAAATAAACAATTATCAAAAGAGTATCATAGAAAAGAAACTATTACTAGAAAAAAAGGATCTGACAGACCTAAAAAACTAATTGACAGGGATACTCAAAAATTAAAAATATAAGCTGGAAAAAATAGAACAAGCACAACTAAAGCAACAAACTCTTTAACATTGTCTGACGGAAAAAAAATATACTGATAACTATATTGATGCGCTTAAAAGATCAAGGGTTCAAATACAATGTAAAAAGTACTTCTACTTTTTAAGTTGCCATTAAAAGCATTATGGGTAAAGTCATATGATCAGACAAATCTTGACTTTATCTGCACTCAGATCGCCACAAATTGCAGGCTCAGATCAAAAAGATTGCAACTGACTTTTTATATTTTAATTTTTATATGAACTTTTTTATATTTTAATTTTTATATGAAAGAAATTTAAGCTTGACCTTCTGATGAATCAGGTTGTTTAAGTTTTATATGTATATAAAACTTAAATATGAGTAATTATTAACAACTACATTTGTGCCAAATATAAGAGAATTACAGATTTTCATTGATTTATGCAAAACATCTCAACTTTCAAAACGTGTTTTTTTTCATTTTGAAAAAATCATGTTTTGAAAGTTGAAATTACTACTTTTTTATTGAAAATGAAAGTAGTCAAATTTTATTCTCTTTTTAGTCAACTTTTAGCAAATAAATGTAGGCACATGAAACTTTATTTAAAATGTACTTTTAGTACTAAAATTAATTTATTTAAGTCATTTGTATGCTTCCAAAAGTTATGGTTTTTCTTATTGTCGTGTGATAAAAAAGGTATCACTGTAAAATATTATTTTAACCATAAATTTATTTGAATAATCGGAATTAATTTAGTGTGAAAATGGAGCTAATATGTTCAAAATGTGATTGTTCAGATTTTATACTTTATAAAACAAATATATATTTTAAGAAAATAACAAAAGAACTATTGCAATTTTTATGTAATTTAAGTTAACAAAAAACATGATAAAGTTTTGTTTTTTCTAAAATTTACTTAAAAAACTTAAGTTTTTTAACTAAATTTTAAAAATGCTACATTTTTACATTTAAATTATTGAATAACGATGCGTAGTTAAAGCACATTTTTATTTTAAATTTGTGCAACATAAGTTAAAACTGCATGCATTTACTAAAGTTCTGGCGCAGTATATTTTTAAAATGAATTATGTCATTAAGTAATTCTTATTTTGTCACGGTGGTTTCATGACAAGGTTCTAACTGAAACTTTTTATATTAGCAGAATTTAGAAAAAAATATATATTTTTTTTAATGTTAAAATTATTTATATTATTGCTTTTTTATTTGTTTATACATTCTTGTTTTAGTTGACATACATAAATATTTGTATAAGTAAAACAAATTGTTTGTTAATGCAATTATGGGCCATCCATAAAGCACGCCACCCTATATTTGTCAATTCTTAACTTCTTCCCTCCTGTCACAAACAATCACATATACCTGAACATATACTAATTGGCATAAAATTATTAACATCGTGTAAAAGTTTCTAATACTGCTTTACTGATTGGCAGATATCTGACCTAAAATTTGAAGCAATATTTTTACCTTGTTTTCCATGTAACATAAGTTAAGTGGCATTTTCAGTAATAAGTTTGCCCTCTTTAGACCTGACTCAAAACTTTTTAGCTTATTTTATTTTTTAGACTAACAGCTTTCATACAAAATAGCTAGAAGATCATTTTGTAATTTAAATAGACAAATATTCGATTAAGTTGTTGCGTGTGTAACGTTAGTTAAAAATGGAATGGCCCATATATATACATATATATATAGTTCTAAAAATTGTTGGCTTTGTTTCTAATTGTTGTTTGTGTGGCTAAAACTTAGTGTATAAGTATACATTATACATTAAGTATACATTAAGTTTTGATTTAACATTTAAAACTTTAAGTAATTTGAAAAAAAAAAAAAAATTTTATCATTATATAAAGTTCTTTTATTTTCTTGTGCTTCTTTTTCTTCTTACTATTTTTATAGAAACTTCTATTGTTTATGTTACGATTTATTTTTATTACTCCTATCATTAATATTATTACTATTATCATTATTATTATCATTGTTGTTATTATTACTATTATTGTTAGAGTTTTTATAAATACTATTATTTTTGCTGTTTTTTTTGATTAACGAGTAAAGTTATTATTATTATTATTATTATTTTAATTAATGTTAATAATATAGTTATTTGGCGTTACTCCTTAGATCAGGTTTCTGCATAAGTGAAACCTTCCTTGTCAATCAATTATATATATTTATTATTATTAATTATATTTCATCATGATTTTATTATTTGTAATATTATAGATATTCTTGTAATTATTATCACTATATATTATTGCTTAACTTAATACTGCTCATTCGTGTGCATTTACACAGAGTTTTATTACAAATAAGATTTAGCATTCTCTTTCTCTTTATATTTTTAACCAAGTGATGAGTATTCTAAATCTTTATAATCTCTTAATATCTGCTTAATCAGTAAAAAGATCAAAAACTTTGCTTCATCAGCTTAATCAGTGAAAAGATCAAAAACTTTTTAATGATTGACTTATGTTATTTTTAAATTAGTATTAAATTATGTTATTCTTAAATTAGTAAGTCAGGTAATATATTTAATTCATGCATTTTAATAATAACACAATTCAAGTCCTTTGTATTAAAGAATATACTTTGAAAGTGTAAGTGTAAGTCCTTTGTATTTAAAGTATATTAATTGAAAAAATTATATTTAATTTATTTTATTTAATAAAAAATTTGAAGAGTTTATAGCAAGAGTGTTGACCATGCTAGCCAATAGGTGTAATTTGCTATAATGTGACTTGACTTTGTTGAGAGCAAAAATAGTGAAAATGGTGAAAAATTTTATAATTCTTTTAATTACTTTTTATTGTTTTTTTGATTAAATACTAATATTTAGTTTAAGTTCTTAATAGAAATATGTTATATTTACACATTATTATATTATTTTAAAACATCTAATTTAAATGGCTCATAGTAGAGGTAGAATATAATTAGATTATTATATTATACTCTGTTTTATTTGCTTATTTTAGATTTAATAAAGAAAACTAAAAGTTCAACTTTTATTATATTAAGCATCATTTTTACACACTTTGATGCTCAATTATGTCTGATAATTTAAGAAGTGAAATTATTAGACTTCGTCAAAATGAAAGAAACCAGTCACTGTATAAACAATCACTGTAAACCTATCACTGTAGTTTTTTTTGTTTTTCTATCACTGTAGTTTTTTTTGTTTTTCTATCACTGTATTTTTTTTGTTTTAAAAAGTTTATGCAATAAATTCAAACTGCAAATAAATTTATGAAATAGTTTTTCATACATTTTGTTGATTTAGAAAATTTAGAAAGTATGGTTAGTAAGCAAAAATTTTTTGTATTACTTCTGTGTATATTAAATAAAAAATAATAATGAGGTTAGCTTTAGTCAGCTAACCTCATTATTTTTAGTATAGATGTATTGCCATTTTTGCTTTGATTTTATATTTTTACGTTATTTTATATGTGAATGGAGTACATTGATATTTTAACCACTTAGTAATTACAGATCTAGATATTTTTATTTCCATTAAGAATGTTTTTGTACCAAGATTTGGTACAAATAATAGCTATAATAATTTAACAATTTGCAAATCCCGCTATTAAAAACACCTTAGTTTAAAGAATATGTTATGAGTTGCAGAAAAATTTCTATAAGAAATGCCAAACAAATAAAACTAACTTATATAACATAACTAGGATCCGTGACTCGTTTCTGTGTCTTCCTTTGCTTTATAAAGAAATCTTAATGAAGGCCTTAAAAATATTAATCTATGAAAATTTTTATTACAGCCTTAAATTAAGCACAGCCTCAAAAAACACTGAAATGTTATGTTAATGTAATCTCTGTTAAAGATACTTTAGTTATGTAAACGATATTAAAGTAAATTGTTAACCAAAAGTCAAGAACTTTATATGGATTTCTTTTGCCGTAAACTAAGATTTATTTAAGTAAAGAGCAAATTAATTATAGATATAGTTAGTTGTGTAGTTATCATTGTACCGGCTTTGACAGCGCTTTGTAAAGAATGATAACTTTTTAATTTAATTTTTTAAAAAGTGTATCAGTATTTTTTTTTACCTCAAGAAAAATGTTTTTTGTTTCTCCTCAAACTTTATATTTTTTTCTCTTTGAAATTATTACTTCATATAGATATATTATTTACAGAAGAGTCTATATAAAATAAAATCAAACCGATAGAGCTAACTTATTTGACATAACTAGGAATCGTGACCCATTTTCTGAATCCTCTTTTGTATTTTAAATAAATTTATATGAGGGATTAAAAAAAAATATTTTTATAAATCTTTTTGTTAAAACCTTAATATTCCTAAAACACCTGAAGAAATATTATGTAACTGTCATCTATGTTAAAGTATAGTTTTAAAGTATAGTAAATTTATTGTTAACCAAACACCAAGAGTTTTAAATTGATTGATTTTCTGCTATTTATTAAAGTTTATTGATTAATGTAAGAAGACCAAATTAAAAATAAGTTTAAATGTAGTCGGGTGTGGAACAGATTTACCATGGCCCGTATTGTATGGGTCATGACAGCCGATTGTAATTATATGACAGATTGTACTTATATGATAAATTTATGTAAATTTTGACAGTTTGTAATTATATGATTGTATTTTTGATACTTTGTATTAAATTTTGACAGTTTGTAATTATATGATTGTATTAAATTTTGTAGATTGTATTAAATTTTGACAGTTTGTAATTATATGATTTGACAGTTTGTAATTATATGAACTTATATGTAAATTTTGACAGTTTGTAATTATATGATTGTAAGATTGATTGTAATTATATGATTGTAAATTTTGAGGAAAATAAATATCTTGTTATTGTTGTTTTGTTGTTATCAATTAGAGTTGATAACAACAGTTAAATAAATTTAGCCAATTTTAAAAGATATTTTTGCTCATGACCTTAAAAGACCATAAAGAAAATTTCAATAACAATCAGTCTGTTTAATTATTCCTGCAAAAAAAAAAAAAAATAAAAAAAGACAGAACAAATAAAAATAGTTTCTAATAAAAATTCTAAACAGAAATAATCTTTAACTACCAAATAGCAGGAAAAAATACAAGGTGTTATAAGCTGGTTCAAATGGATTAATTTCTAAGATTGTTGATTTCTATTCCAGCATATTGTAGAAAAACTAAAAATGGCCTATTGCTTAAATATCTTAGTGTAGTCTGTTTACGAAAGAAAGTTCTCACTTTTACTAATGACCAAGTTTGGATTAAAAAACCATATGGGTTGTTTGACCATTGAATGTAAACTTTTGACAGTGAAGAATGTTTTCAACTTGTAAGAATTTTTCTATTGCTTTAGATTATATATTTTTATAAATGAATTAATAAAAATAATAGATAAAAATTTTATAGATTAAATTATAGTTCTATAAATATAATTAGATAATACTGTAATGATGGTTTAGTCCTTTTTTTTAAATGCTCGTGGTCATTAGGTGGAAAAAACAGATAAAAAAACAGATAGAAAGATTAAAAAAACTTGTTGTCAACACTTTTGAAAATAGTCTTTTATTTCAATACAGTGCAACTTTGAAGATTTTAATTACTATTTTAATTTATTCTTATTATTTTTTATACTATTACAGCTTTTAATCATAAAAGCTGTAAACACAACATTGTTTGTAAAAAAAAATTAAACAAAAATACAGTAAAAATAAGTTTCAGCTGAACAGCTGTTTGACAAATACAAAATAGCTTTTAAATGCACAAAATTGTAATTTTAAACAAGAACAATATTATCACTAAAAAAATCTGTATTGATAATAACACTTTCCGATTTAGCAGATGATTAACAGAAAATATTCTATATCAAGCATATGTCACTCACACTAGCCTGGTCAGACTCTTATTGGTAAAACTTGGTTTAAGCACAACACATTGGTTTAAGCACACACATTACTTGGTTTAAGCACACACATTACACAAAACTTGGTTTAAGCACAACACATTGGTTTAAGCACAACACCTTTTAAAATTAGATTTGCAACCCATATTAAATCTTTCAACACCCTCAAATATAAAATTGATACTGAGTTGTCAAATAAAGCATGCAAATTAAAAGATGTAGTTTCAAACCAAATGATAAAGTGGAAAGTAATCAAACAGTGCGAAGATTAAAACATTGTAAACCCTACAAAACCATGCAACTTATGCATAGTTAAAAAAAATTTAAATTATTTGTTTAGAGGTATCAACCTGTTAAATAAACAATGTGAGGTTCCAATTCAAAGTGCATAAGAATAAATTTTTTAATTCATGATATGACATGAACCAATGACTGGATGTTTGGATCTGAATTATTTTTATTTTCTCTGTGCATTATAAAATGTCTTTGTGTGTCTATTCTCTACACCCATATAACTATACACAAATAATTTAAAAGCTAAAATTTATGAATTCAATAAATTTTATATCAAAATTTTTCGCCTAATATTATGATATAAACTTACTCTTTATCCTTTGTGTAAGCAGCACTTGGTCCAATAAGAACTTTGCATATAAACAACTTTCCTAAATAACAAATTAAAAATATTTTTAACAACAAATTAAAAAAAAAAATTATCTAAAAAAGACTTTTAGAGTTTTTAGTTAAAAGGAGGTAAAGGACTTAAACAAAAGTCTCTAAACTTACAATTCTCAATAAAATCCATCATCTCTATAAAAGTATCCATAGTTACTAATTTCAATATAAGTCACCAATCTAATTAAACTTTAAACTCACTAAAGGTTTCCATGCTTACTGTTTTGCTAAGACTATTTAATATGCTTTATTATCTCAATAAAAGCAACAATACTAGGTTGGTTGAAAAGTTCGCGGAGCGGCACCTATGTTGCAGTAGTAGAAACAAATTTATAACTGTATTAAACGTATTCATTCTTCGTATGAACGCATAAAAAATTTCAAGTCGATATGTCATTTCAGTCTTTGTTTACAAGCTATTGAAATTAGACGTGTCATAGTATTTTTTTAAATGGAAAATATTGAACATCGTGCTGTAATAAAATTCTTTGTGAAAAAAGGTTTAAAGCCCATGGAAATTCATAATGAAATGGTAAATGTGTTGGGTGATGATGCTCCTTCAAAAACAACAGTATGCAAATGGGCTGCGGAGTTTCAACGTGGGCGTTCAAGCCTTGAAGATGACCCTCGCTCTGGACGTCCAAAAAGTGCTACTACTGAAGAAACGATTAATGCTGTGCATGACATGGTTATGGATGATAGACGATTGACCAAACGTGAAATTGCTGAGGCTGTGGGCATCTCAGATGAACGGGTATTACACATCTTGCACGATGAATTACGTCTGAGAAAGCTGTTGGCAAGATGGGTGCCGCATTCGCTAACTCTGGATCAGAAACGCACTCGAGTAAAACTTTCTCAAGAACATTTGGCCCGTTTTCAAAAGAATAAAACAGATTTTGTGCGTCGATTCGTAACCATGGATGAGACTTGGGTTTACCACTATGATCCGAAGCTGCGACAACAAACTGCAGAGTGGACAGAACCCGGTTGTTCAGCTCCGAAGCAAGTGAAGGCGTCAAAATCGTCAAAGAAGGTTATGGCATCAGTTTTTTGGGATGCGAAAGGAATTTTATTAATAGATTACCTTCAAACCGGTAAAACGATCACAGGTGAATATTATAAAAATCTTTTGGACCAGTTGGATAAAAAAATTCGTGAGAAAAGACCTGGTTTGCTGCATAAAAAAATCATTTATCACCAGGACAACGCACCTGCTCATATCAGCGATGTTGCAAAGGCGAAATTGGTCAAATTAAAGTACGAACGCTTGGAACATCCACCCTATTCACCAGATCTGGCTCCGTCCGACTTCCACCTCTTTCCACATCTCAAAAAATTTCTACGTGGAAAGCGTTTCTCATCACATGAAGAAGTCATTGCAGCCGTAAATGGGTATTTTGAAGGCCTTCCGGAATCGCACTTCAGAGATGGGATACATGAATTGGAGAATCGTTGGAAAAAGTGTATTGCTCTTAAGGGAGAATATACTGAAGAATAAAGTCATTTTTTGAATCATAAAATTGTTTTTTCATTTCGGCTCCGCGAACTTTTCAACCAACCTAGTATTTACAAACCATCATAATCAATTTTTCTTTTACTTTTTTATACCTTTAAATATGATTGGTTTCATTTTCAATGATAAACCATATATTCGAGTCTTGATAAAAAATAAAGCTTTGGTCTGTTAAAAAAAAGATTCTCTCTCATAACTGTGCAGGGCTAGCAGTTGGTGGTGAACTTTAACAGCAGTAAAATTTTTTTAATATTTTAAATAATAGTTCAATTGAATTAGATTATTTTTGAGGGAAAATTTTCATAACTGAAATTTTAGTTAATGGTATTCAAATATATGTAGATCATGAAAAAATAGCCTAATGATTCATAACAAGAAAACCCACAATTCAGTGCCTTATTTTTTCCATTTCCTCTTATGCATCATTGATGTCCTGAAGCAGGGATGCAGAGTCCAAAAAAGCCTCCAGCTTTAAATCTCTATTTTCTCTTGGTCTATAGTGTCCAAGAGCTCTAAAAGTATCAAGTAACTTTTAGATCTGCATTATTAAATAAAAACTCATAAGGTTTTATGACTAGGAATTTTTTTTTTAACCTAGAGTCTTGGAGTCCTAGTCCCTAATATACATAAGGACTGGAGGTTCAAACTTTGGTTGTTCCTCTAACCTAAAAGTCTTAATTTATGGATCTTTATACATTTTTGGAGCTCTTGGATATCAAAAACCATAAGGAAATTATCATTTCAACTCCAGAATCCTTTTTGGTACTCTGCATTCCTGACTTCAAGAAATAAATTTGATTGCATACAACATAAATTTGATTGCATACAACTTATAACTTTTGGAAAGATAAATATTCGATAATAAAGATAAATGATGCAAAAATGTGTAAAATTGTAAATTTAAGATTCATTGTTACCTTTTCAATTTACCTTATGCCTATTCATACATTCTGATTCACAACTTTCTCCACATAGATGCAAATACCTTTTTTTGTATTTTCTACACGGACATGCTTTGTCACCGAATGGATTCTCTTGTAGTTCTTGCAATAGCTTTTCCTAACATATATCTCAACAAAGAGATCCTCAATACCTCTTCTTATCTTAAGTTTACTTACAAATGTATCCCAAAAAACTCAAAATTGCATAAAAACCACCAAGCTTGCAAATAATGTGGAGATTTTCTGCACGGACTATTTGATTACCATTAACTAAAGTGGCTGGTCAAAATACACAGGGTTCAACTTGAGCTTATTTGCTTGTGAGGTGATGAAAAGCTATATTGAGTAAATGCATGATTCATTGATGCGATTGAGATCTATTAATGAAAGAATTGAAAAGCCTATTGAAATCCTTTTTGTGGGAGTTGCCTTACTGAGCATTGTAAAAAGCTCAGTAAGGCCAAGACCAGTTTGGACAAGGTTTTTCAGTTAATGACAAAAACCAACATGTTCATAAAAGTTGCATTGATCTTAGAACTTTGAAATAATCCAACCTGATTTTTTAATGGTGATTAATCCAACCCTATGAAACGTATCTTTTTCTGTGGGGCATCACACATGCCTTAAAAAAATTATTCTAATGATAAAAAATTTAACTGATAACATATTTAAAGCTTAAGCAACTTTTGTGTATTAATTGGTTCTTCTTTTAAACTTTGTTTGCATTTAAAATAGGACAACTATTTCTTTACAAGGTTTTCACTTTTCCATTTGAATGCTACAAACCTGTTAATGTGACAATATTGTGTCAACATTATCAGCTACCTGTTGCTTGAGTCTATTACTTATTGGTGGTCTTTGATTTCATTTCTGCTAATCTCTTTAAGTACTGATTATTTAAACTATTGTAACTCATCTGGAATGATTGAAAATCTAAGTTGTGAGAAATGATGAATAAGATGTTTACATTCTTTTTTTATTTGAATTCACCTCCCCAAGACCAAGAAGACCACTACAGTTGAGGAAGCTACATTATTTACTTTATTTGTGGTTAATTACTTTATTTGCGGTTACAACCTCCTTTCTAGTAATTAGATTACAATTTGAAACAATTTGAATTTTTTTTTTTTTGCTTTAATATATATCACAAATAGAGTAAACACAATTATTCATAGCACATCAGAATAACACGTTTCTCTAGACTGAATAAAAGGTTTTAGGTTTGAAAACAGTTTAATAAGTAGACACCCTTTCATTTTGAGATCATAGTGCAATGTAAAAAATTGTTCAACATAAAATATAAAACAGTACATAATTATTCAAATTTTGAAGAACAATAATTTTGACCATTTTGCGCATGCATCATTTAGAAATAGGCCTGGTAAAGGGGTTCTCCTGTTGCAAATCACAGGGCATATTTTGATGTGATCTATACACCTTTGGAAATCATATTTTCGCTTTATAAAACTTTTTTCCAACAACCAGTGGTTCTTTGAAATTTACTCCCAGATTAATCCTTGTTTCAAAATAGTGATATCCAAAACTTTTAAGAGGTAGCATATTTAAAAGGTGTTCCACTCTACAGATACTGACTTTTTATTCTATTCTCTCTTAGAAATCATGAAAAAATTACCATTACCAAATTAGCTCAAAAAAAAAAAAAAAAATTTATACAAGATTTATTGCACTTTCAAAAAAATACTTTAAATGATATATTTCACACTTCACAAAAACACTTTTCAAGAATCACTACAACTTTAAAATACCAAAAGAAACTTGAAATACATATGCAGCACCACAGACAACACGTTATACTCACGCTTGCACAAAAAGAGATTACAATGTTTTAAAATTCTTATAGTATTAGTTTCATAAATTTTCACAAGAAATAAAAGTTCACTTACCAAACCTACTGGTACAACAGTTTTGAATATTACAATCAGGAACGCTTTTATAAACATTCTTGATGCGAGCTTTGTCAGCAATATATACACTGTTTGTTAACTTAACTGCCATATTTGCATTCTAAGTTTTACAAATTATTTTATAGAAATTAAAAATCATTTTATATAAAGCTACAAAAATATATTATAAGGATAAAAAATAAACATAAAGAGATGCAGTTTATATTTATTATTTATGTTTATGTTTTTAAAAAAAACATAAACATAAAAAATTTATACATTAAAATAATTATAGATAAGTTATTAATTTAGTAAAAATAAATAACAAAATAAATAAAATAAATAAAGACAATAAGCAAACAAAAAAACAAGTACAAAAACAATTATATTCAAAACTTTACATTTTTATAAAATTATATATCTTAATTAATTCAGACCCTCTCTTACCTGTGCTTTTATTTGCTTACCTCATTACTTAAACCATCCTCAAGGATTTTTTCTAAACAAAATTCAGCACAAGATTCTGATATTAGGAATAAATAATCCATAAATTCGTGTCTTTGACTGCTGGAGCTACAAAAAAAAAAAAGAAAATCTTAACTAAACATATTTAGTTTTCAACTAATGCACAAATATTTTTTGACAAAAACTAACAGATATTATATATGAAAAAAAATGTTTATATAAAATGTATTATTTTATTACTAAATTTCAGAGCATTAGTGTTTAGTGATGTGATAAACACGATTGGCTGTGTTATTGAATTTATTTACCTAAGTAAAATTATCAAACATGTTTTTAGAGTACTTGGCACTGATTCAAATTTGAATAAATTTTGAAATTCATGAACTGGTGCTAATATACATAAATTTTTTGTTTCAAAAACTTGTTTTTTCATCTGATAATACATTAACATCTCAGACAAGAACTTATTTCAAAGTACAACCAAACATACCTTTTGAAACATTCACATCTAATATTTATATATTTATTTACTAAATTAAAAAACTTAATTAGGGCAGACAACTCGAAGCACACAGTGCATTGTGACTATTTTAGATTCTTTACTATTTTATTAAATTCTATTTTAGATTCTTAGATAATTCTTAGAATATTTTGACTATTTTAAATATTATAATAAATTATTGAATTTTTTTGAAATTATTAATATAACTACTTTATTATTAAAAAATTTAAAAAACATTTATTAGTAAAAAAGTTTAATTTTTTTAAAACAGATTAGTTTAAATTTACAAAAAAACTTTTAAATAAACAGTATAACGTTATACTGCTTATTTGAAAGTTTTTTTTTCAATATAATTTACAAAAAAACTTTTAAATAAACAGTATATGTTTATTTCAAATAAACATATACTGTTTATTTGAAAGTTTTTTTGTAAATTTAAACTAATCTGTTTTAAAAAACATTTTTGAAAACAGAAAAAAAAAATTTTATTATATTGAAAAAAAACTTGATTATAGTTTACCAAAAAAACACAAAAAAAAACACAGCAAAAAACAATTTTTTGCTGTTTTTTATTTTTATGATTGATCTTTTTTTTAACAAGTTGTCAGGAAGTTATTTTAATAAGTTTTCATTAGTATTGAGCAATTTATGCAAAAACAGATTAACTTTTGAATCCAACACTTCTTTTCAGTATATTACAATTAAAGTTATTGATTATATTATATGCTAACAATATCTGAAGTTATTTGGCAGTCATAAAAAGAGCAAATGATTGACATCAACAATTTCTAAAATCGAAAGATATTAAATAGGGTTTTAAGTATCATTCATTAGAGACAACTTCGCCTCACCAACTAAACTTCTTGTATAACACAAATAGTTAACATCATAATTTAAAAATTTTGACCATAGTTTGAGATCTTTTAATGAAAACATATAATGCAATACTAAGCAAAGGCATCAAAAATGTGATCAAAGCTTACTTACCTAGTCCAAGTCAAAGATTGACAAAACCAGAGAAAAAAACTATTAATGATGCAGCCAACATGAAAACAGCTTTTTTAAAACCTGGATAAACTAGATATTAATTCCTACCTACTATGTATTGATTATTTGATAAACATGAATATATTAGGATCAATTTAGAAAGAAGAATGAACATGTCAATGGACAAGCAATTGTCAAATAAGAAAACTGAAAGTTCATTAGCAGCTTAAGCAATCAAACAATTGTTGAATCATCAACAAATGCACTAAACTAGTAGGTTGTATGCTAAATCCACAGTCAATCTAACAGTTCTTCCTTGTAGAAACAAGCTATAAAATAGTCAATGTAGCAACACTCCCTTGTAGCAGCAGGCTACAAAATAATGGATGTAGTAGCACTCCTTTGTAATAGCAGCCTATAAGATCCGGTACACCCCAGTTATTAATGACAATTCCAAATTAATCATCATGTAGATGATCAAATTTTTATCATGTAGATTTTTTTGTTGTTGTACTGATTCACTCCCAACAAGGGCGCAAGCAACCACTACAAAATTGGGAGTTACTATAAAAAAAGAGAATAGAGTTAAAGAGCTAGGAAACAGATGACAGGAAACTTGAAAAGTTGTAGACTGTATGAGTCAGGAAAATATGAAGATAATAGAAAGTTTTAAAAGGTTAAAGTGTGGAAAAAAAAAATTATACAAATGTTTTCAGTGCATGCAGGGACAGATACAGTAAAAGAATGAGACTTTGCTGAATGACGAGTCAAGCAAGAATGAGTTGATAGCTTCTTTGAGAACTAGAGTTAATAGCTCCTAAATAAAAGAACTAGAGTTGATAGCTCCTTTGAGCAGTGACCATGATAGTATTTGTAGAAAAAAGAAAAATATGCAACTTTATGACAATGGGAGAGAGGCTTAAGATTAGCAAATAAAGTGGGTCCAACTACGTTTAAAAGGCGTAAAAGACTTTGTCTAGAAGAGAAAGAGTATCATTAGAAGAACCAAATATGACAACAGTATTCCATACAGGGGGAAATAAGAGATTTGTAGAGGTAAAGAATGAAATCAAGAAAATGGCAAGCATAATAAAAAAGGATTCTTAGTGGATAGAGAAGGGTTCTTAGCGGTTGTTGATTTAGCAATCAATTTTATATATAGTTTCCATGAGAGGTCAGTAGTGAAGGTAATCCAAAAAGTCATAAGGTAGAAGACTGCCATTCATCATAGAATGGGTTGCTATTCATCAATATAGAAATGTCGACAGTTTTGTGGTAGCTGTTTGCAGTAAATAACTAGTTTTGTTAAATAAATAGTTTTGTTGGAGTTAAAATTTACAAGCCACTGCTAGCCAGATTCAAGATTGGCTGCATTTTCTAAGCAATCAAAGACTTTTTGTCAAAACAAGAGTTTAAAGTTTAGTTATTATAGATGTAAAGTTGTCAAGATCATTCATGTAAATAAGGAACAAAATAAGACCAAGGATAGAATTTTGAAGTACTTCAGAAGTTGCTGGAAATGAAGAAGAGTGTTGGCCTTTAAGGACGAGTAATAAAGCGGTTAGAAAGAAACAATTTGATAATCTCAAAAATTTTACTAGATACACTATATGATGCAAGCTTTTGGAGAAGTTTAAAAAAAGTTTAAACCACAAATGCTATTTTCCAGCAGGCAGGAAAGCAAGACTCAGTCAACCACTTATTAAATAGTTTAGAGAGAATTGAAGAGAGTTATGGAGGACAATTTTGTAAGACTATGACAGGAATATTGTCTGGACCACAAGCTGTAGAAGAGTTTAATTGAGACAATGACTTTAGCAACGGAAGCTTGAGTGATTTGAATGTCCAAAAATGGGTTAACCTGTTTAATTGGAATAGAAGGAAGAGAATGATCATAAGATTCAAGAGTTAAATTATAAGAAAAGATCTTTGCAAGTAATTCTTCCGTTTTTTTTAGAAATTTGGCATATAAAATTTGCCGAATGGTCACACACGAGCAGTGAACGCCTGAGTTTATTCTTCCTTATATTTAAGAGAGGTAATAAGATCAGTCATTTGAATTAGAGATAATGTCAGACACCTTCGTTAATAATGCTGTTGAAAATATTTATTTAAGAGAGGTAATAAGATCAGTCATTTGAATTAGAGATAATGTCAGACACCTTTGTTAATAATGCTGTTGAAAATATTTATTTAAGAGAGGTAATAAGATCAGTCATTTGAATTAGAGATAATGTCAGACACCTTTGTTAATAATGCTGTTGAAAATATTTATTTAAGAGAGGTAATAAGATCAGTCATTTGAATTAGAGATAATGTTAGACACCTTTGTTAAAAATGCTGTTGAAAATATTTATTTAAGAGAGGTAATATTTATGAGGTAAAAGTTATGAAGAGATAAGATATAAGGTTAAGTGACTTGAAGAGATAAGATATAAGGTTAAGTGACTTGAAGAGATAAGATATAAGGTTAAGTGACTTGAAGAGATAAGATATAAGGTTAAGTGACTTAAAGAGATAAGATATAAGGTTAAGTGACTTGAAGAGATAAGATATAAGGTGAAGTGACTTGAAGAGATAAGATATAAGGTTAAGTGACTTAAAGAGATAAGATATAAGGTTAAGTGACTTGAAGAGATAAAATATAAGGTTAAGTGACTTGAAGAGATAAGATATAAGGTTAAGTGACTTGAAGAGATAAGATATAAGGTTAAGTGACTTGAAGAGATAAGATATAAGGTTAAGTGACTTGAAGAGATAAGATATAAGGTTAAGTGACTTAAAGAGATAAGATATAAGGTTAAGTGACTTGAAGAGATAAGATATAAGGTGAAGTGACTTGAAGAGATAAGATATAAGGTTAAGTGACTTAAAGAGATAAGATATAAGGTTAAGTGACTTGAAGAGATAAAATATAAGGTTAAGTGACTTGAAGAGATAAGATATAAGGTTAAGTGACTTGAAGAGATAAGATATAAGGTTAAGTGACTTGAAGAGATAAGATATAAGGTTAAGTGACTTGAAGAGATAAGATATAAGGTTAAGTGACTTGAAGAGATAAGATATAAGGTTAAGTGACTTGAAAATAATGGAGCTTAGCATCAGACAGTACCTTTTTACACTGATTTCTTGCAACAATAAATAGGGGTTTGTTCTTAAAAGTTGCTCTTTTAAAAAAGATGAAAAAAAATGATCTGGATTAGATATAGCAGCTGCACCAAAAGTTGAAAACCATGGAGTGAATACAAGAAAAAAAATTTTCAAATTTTGAAAAATAATGCAACCAATTTTTTGATTGTATTTGAAAGTCTACTAATGTTTTACTTATAATTTTACTTATATATAATTTACTTTTTACATTTTTAAAATTGATACCTTGCTCATTCTTGATACAATTTTAATTAATCTAAATTGTTACTCAAATATGAAAGATACAATAGAAACTAAATACTTTTTGTTAAATTAACAAAATAAAATAATTTTATTTTACTTTAATACAAAATAAAATTTGTATAAAAGTAAAATAAAAGCTAAAAAATTTTCAAATAAATTTTAGAAGAAATATTTTAACTTTAAAAAAAATGTTTTAACTTTAAAAAAGGTTTACTAATTTTAGAAGAAATATTTTAACTTTAAAAAAAATGTTTTAACTTTAAAAAAGGTTTACTAATTTTAGAAGAAATATTTTAACTTTAAAAAAAATGTTTTAACTTTAAAAAAGGTTTACTAATTTTAGAAGAAATATTTTAACTTTAAAAAAAATGTTTTAACTTTAAAAAAGGTTTACTAATTTTAGAAGAAATATTTTAACTTTAAAAAAAATGTTTTAACTTTAAAAAAGGTTTACTAATTTTAGAAGAAATATTTTAACTTTAAAAAAAATGTTTTAACTTTAAAAAAGGTTTACTAATTTTAGAAGAAATATTTTAACTTTAAAAAAAATGTTTTAACTTTAAAAAAGGTTTACTAATTTTAGAAGAAATATTTTAACTTTAAAAAAAATGTTTTAACTTTTAAAAAGGTTTACTAATTTTAAAAGAAATATTTTAACTTTAAAAAAAATGTTTTAACTTTAAAAAAGGTTTTTTTATTTTTTAAACTTTTTTTGCGCATTTGAAAATATTTTAATGACGCTTTTTCTGTATCTACAAAGTCTGTTCAACTGAGTTAAAAGAAAAAATGTACTGTGCTTATTTATATGACAAAAAATCTGGCAAGAAATGGTTCAAAAAAATTAAAATTTAAAATTAACTATTATTGAAAATTTAACAAAAACACATCAGACCTTTTCCAAGAGATTTTCTAGAGGGGGTAGCCAACCCCTTCCCCCTTTTTTTTCAACCTCATTTTTGTCAGGAAAAATGAGCAATAATCTGTTGTCCTAATTAAATGGGTCTTAAAAACAGTCTGAGAGGTGCCTGTATCCTGCACCTATTTTAACCCCTGCATAACAACATAAAATGTAGTACCTTTCATTATATTCTTCAGTTCCTAAAATTACTTCTGCCTTTTTATCAAATCGTAGCTTTAAAATACGATTCTGAACACAAAATATTTTTTGAATTTTCAAATTCACAATACTCCATGAGTCCTATAAAATTTTATTATTTATTATCATTAATATAAAAATCTATATGTTATAATGTTATAATGAATATAGTTACAGTTTGAGTTTGACTTGAATCTTATTTTAATAACATTTAACAATTTAATTACAAATTTACATTAAAAATTTACATATAATACATTATTAACATATGAATAAAATGACAATAGATGACATTGATATAATGAATATTATGAAAAACTATTATATAACTGTTAACCTTAAATTCTTGAGCAAAAAATCGAGATTGAACAAGATCATGGCAAGGCTGATACCTATAAAACAATAAATATTGTTTTATCGTATCAGTTATAAAAATAATATCATAGATAATTAGCATTGTTATAAAAATAATATCATAGATAATCTTTATATAAAAAAACAAAAAATAACAACAAATAAACAAGAAATTAGATCTAAAACCAATTTATTACAAAAAAATATTTTTATCAGTAGCAGTTGATCAAAATCATTTTGATTGGTAGAAAATTCATAAATTGAGATTCTACTGACCAAAATTTTCTTGTTTAATCAAAAGAGTACAATAGTTGCAATTGTTAAACATTAGATTGTATATAGTAATAGTAAACATTAGATTGTATATAGTAATAGTAAACATTAGATTGTATATAGTAATAGTAAACATTAGATTGTATATTGTAATAGTAAGGAAACTGTGAGTAGTAAAAGTATTAGAGAGTAAAATAATGAGATATATATAGATTCAGCATTTAGCCATCTACATTATACTTCTTAAATCAAATGTACACCTTAAAGTATGCATTTGATAAACCTTTACCAAAAATCATTATTTGTTCCTTCCTCAAATCTTATGTTCCCGCCAGACATGAACTCAATTCGAAGAAAAATTACTGATTGTTCCTTCCAGTATGTCAACTGTTTTACAATATCTTTGTATATCAAATGAAGTCTATATAAAACAAAAACACAAAAAATTTTAATTTATTAGTTCTATTTAAATTTATTTTGTTTTCTCATTTGCATTGCAAAACATAGCAATGCAAATAGGACAACAAACAAGAATGTAAGTGATGAAACGCATGAAATGAGGTTGGTAACAAAAGGAAAAAACTAACAATTTTAAATAAATACTTCTGATGAACTGTTTCCCAATATTCAACTCTGTTGGTTAACAAATTTAATTTTTCAGTGACCATTTTTTGAAACTCCTCAAAACTTTTTGAAATTTTATTTAACCAAGTTTCATTTTTCTGGATTGTATCTGATGTATCAACTAATGAAAAAGGTAATCTAACACTTTTAATTTATTAATTATAAAATTAATCTATTTAAAAAAAAGTTAATTACATAGGCTTTACATCTTGTTTATTTGACCCTTTATTTTTCAAGTTTATTAATAACATAATTAAAACCTTTTTCAATAATTTCACCTAATACATCCACTGTTTGATGTGCAAATTCCAATTAAAGTAATAAAAAGTTGCACCACCCATCAATTTCACAAAGTTGACAAAATATGTAAAATATGTGTTCTTGTATTTCCAAATATGTATTCTTGTTTTTTTAAGTAATTAAATTATGATGAATTGTAAGATGAAAGTGTGAGATGAATTTATATTATAATTAACAATAGAACAACTCACAAACTCTTTTAATACAAATTAATTAAACTCTTTTAATACAAGTTAAAATAAATAAAAATTTCTTAAATAGGGGTCTTCCATAAAGCATGTACACAGGTATGGGGGAGAGAGACTACTCAAAAAACTTATGAACGCATACAAGGAAGGGGTGGTGGTGGGAGTGGTGTTAAAGACATCGAGTATGTGTGAGATTTTACTATCTTTTCTCTCCTAAAACTTGAATTTCTTAAACAAAAGCATTGAATTTCACGATTTTAAAAAATCAATGTTATGTAGTAGGGAAATGTTGAGTTAACCAAAAGTTTTTTTGTTTTTAATGTTATGAAAAATTATGCGTTGGAAAAGACAATGAAAAGACTTTATAGATGCTCCCATATGACAACAAACTAATCCTAAATATTCACAAGTAAATCCAGAAAATAGACAAAAATATTAACTAATGTAAAGTCTTCCATTTTTTTTTAAATTTTATTATTGAATAATAATGAGTCAAAATATACATTATCAAAGTGCTTTACTTATTAAATCTTATTAAAATTATTATGTGTGACATAAATAATCTTATTAAAATTATTATGATGTGACATAAATAAGTTAAATATGTTAGGAATACTCAGGAATAATCTTAAAGATAATTGGTCTATGAGTGATTTGAAACATTTATCTGAAAGATAATTGGTCAATGAGAGATTTAAAACTTTTATCTGAAACATAATTAGGCAGTGAGTGATTTGAAACATTTATCTGAAAGATAATTGGTCTATGAGTGATTTAATACTTTTATCTAAAAGATAATTGGTCTACGAGTGATTTGAAACTTTTAGCTGAAAGACAATTGGTCACTATGTGATATGAAATAAAAATATTATGTCTAATCAACTTTTGCATTACTAGCTTACAAAGCTTTTTTTCCCTGAAAATTTCAAAAATATTGATAAAAGTGTAGACCTTTAGCTGTCAGAAAAAGTTTTTTTCAGATAATCATAACAGATTGTTGTAACTTAAAGTAAACAAGCAAAAATTTACAACTTAAACTCAAAGTTTGTTCAAATAAAATGTTGAGGTCTAATCATTTAGAAAATAAACTCATAATCAAATCAACATAAATAAACATTTATAATAACTGATAATAACATAAACTTTCTTAAAAGTTATAGCTGTTTTAAAAACAACATGCTCTAGATATATAAAAAACTTGAATTTTAATATTTTAAATAATTTTTGCATTGTTTATTCGTGAAATACCATATATTTCCAGCTTACATATACTTAGTTACCTCCCCAAACAAGGAAGGTATTATTATGGCTTATTTATCATGACATTTTTATTAATAGTCTTATTTGGTTATTAAGTCTCTTATTTTAAAAATAAAAAAAAAGATTAACAATAAAAAAAACTTTGAAATACAAATACTTTTGTGTGAATTTTTCTTCTTTTCTGACTGCCAAAACTCTCTCTCAAGCTGTTAAACATAAAAAAACTTAGACTAGATTATTTTCTTTTTAATTTCCTAAGTTTAATATTTTTAAAATAATTATTATTTCTATTTGAAATATAAAATATAGACATATATACATAAATGCATATACAAAAAAAGATACAACAATCAAGGGTGATGGATGTTTATAGAATTTTGTAGTAATTTTTTATATGAACAATAAGAATACATCTAAAATTATTCTGAAATGCACAAAATTATGTTAAGTTATTTTAAATTATTTTCAGTTAATACTTCGAGATAAAAAAAAAACCATCACAAAATAAAATAAAAAAATAATTTATTTTATAAACAAATAATATAAATTAATTTTTGATGCATTATATTTTTTTAAATATGCTCCCAAGTAGCATTTTAATTTTTTTTTTTTTTGTACTAACTTTCCTACTTTCTTTATTACTGATGTTTCATTTGCCAAGAAAACAAGAATGTCCAAGAAATGAGAATGCAACAATTAAAAATTGTTTTTTGAAAAATTGAAACAAGAATGTCCAACAAAATACCAAATGTTTTCATTTTTCCTCCCAAAGAACAATTTATCAGCTCATATAAGCTTGTTAATCAAATGAAACAATATAAAAAAGCAGAAATAAAAAAAAAAAAGCATCCAAGGACTAGACCTAGCTGTCAAGCTTCATTAAAATAAAGAAAAAAATAGGAAGAGAGGAAGGAAACAGAAAAAAATATTTTTGTTTGTATGACTTTGATTTGCATATAAGTACAGCACATCATTTTTCACGCAGAGTTTTGATCCATTACTACCACACACTCTAGAGTATTCAATTTTTTGGAGTAGTTTTATGCGGAGGACTTAGAAATAGCCTGTTACAAGAATTTACATCTTGAACAGGTTAGATTTTATTAATTGATTAATGAAAAAAAGATGATTTCAAATTTTATTCATGGTGGGTTTATTTAATTTTAGGTACTTATCAGATGTGTGTCCAAAGTTTAATTGGAAAGCTACTGGCTGGTATCTAGATGATATTTTATGTTGAAACAAGTTAAAGAAATGACTAATTGTCTGGCATCCACAAAATGTAAAAGTAAAAGTTGACATTACACTTTTCAAAATTAGTATGATGGGCTGTTTCTTTATATACCAAAAAACGTACTTTTTTGGAGGTGATTTGAATGATCAAATCTTAGAATCAAATATAGAATTTTACCCAAAACTTAATAAAATGAGAAACACATTAGCCAGCTGTCTAAATGCTGTTGAATTATGTCACATTTTATTGTTGGTAACTGAAACATCAAGATAGTTTAATGTATTGGTTTAATGTATTAAAGTCGGCAGATTCCATTGTGTATTGAATACTTTTATGTTGTTTGTTAAGTAGATCTGAAAATTTTTGCACATCTTCTTCTACCTGGAACCGTGAATGTATATCATCATTTTGTATAATACAGTTTTGTATAATATAGCGGTTTTATTTTTTATAACGGTTTTTAATATTATTTGATAGCGAGGGTATCAATATTCCTTCGAAATATCGTAAAAATTAATCCATAAAAAGAAGTTTTCTTTTAAAGTATTTATCAAAATAGATTCTATTGAAGATGTCAACATTTAATATATATATATATATATATATATATATATATATATATATATATATATATATATATATATATATATATATCAAATTGGCTAAATACATGGCTAAAAAGATTGTACCTTAGTAGATATACCTTATTATTATCAATTATATATATTGTACCTTAGATATGCCTTTGCAGATATACCTTATTATTATCAATATATATATATATATATATATATATATATATATATATATATATATATATATATATATATATATATATATATATATATATATATATATATATATATATATATGTATATATATATATGTATATAATATATATATATATATATATATATATATATATATATATATATATATATATATATATATATATATATAAAATGAGCTAAATACATGGCTAAAAAGATTTAAGCAATGATATAGTGATATCATAAGCATATTGTATATGGATTGATAATAATAAGGTATATCTTATTGTAAATAATAATTTGGTTTATATATGTGTGTTAATATTATTTACAGACAAGTGTTTTAGAAATAAGTCATTTTGTTAGCAACAATTTTGCAATTGTGACTAAATGTAACTTTGCTTCCCCCTTGCGTCATGAAAGGATTTACATTTCTTCCATTTAACATTTTTTTATATCAGATCTTTTTACAGGTAGTCAGGTAGTTACCAACATCCAACAACTGAGGTTGACTTTGCAATGTACTATAGGAAACTAAACTTCATTTATTATTTGACTTTGATGATAATAATGGGGATGAATTGCTTCAAAATAAAAATATAAACCTTTGCATGTAATGTCAATGCATTAACAATAAAATATGTTGTCAAGTTATTTGAATAAAATAGAATACCCTGGGCATATTGCTCCTGTCGTTCTCCAATAGATAGGCTATGATAATATCTATAATTTTTTCATTATCTTGTTTGTTTATCACTTTTATTTCAAGGTATTATTGTAGAGATTTGATGAAGCAAAAAAGACGGCAAACAAGAAAAATGTTTGAAAATAAAATCAAAACTAATGATTAAGAAACCCTAGAAACTTAGGATTGTTGATATTTTCTTGCTAGTTACAATAAAACATAATTTCTTTTTAGTAATAACCCTGTCTCTAGTCTCTAGCAGTGACTTTAAAATTATATTGTTTTGTTAAAGAATAAGGACAATAAAATATAATTTCTTTTTAGTAATAACCCTGTCTCTTGCATTATGTATTAGTTCACCAAGTCAACTTATTTTTCAACCTATACTTTTTTGATCAGATTTGGTTTGTGATTTTTCAGTGAGTCCTTTACATTTGGAAAAATATCCAATTTTATAAGAAATGTATCGCGAATGATAGATTCTATTGGACATTAGATGGTAGCAGCAAGTTTCCTTATTAGTTTTTGTACAACATCCATGTTTTTTGTGACAATCAATCAATTAAAAAACCTACACATATTGTCTCATTATCTATCCATTTAGTAGTTTTAGTTTTGCAAATAATACATCCTAGTCGGCAAATGACTTATAGTTTAAATCATATATCTTATAGCAAATATGTTTTACGTTAATATAATTTTTGCTAAACAAACATGTAAATAAAAAGCAAATATGTTTTACATTAATATAATTTTTGCTAAACAGATTTGTAAATAAAAAGCAAATATGTTTTAAATTAATATAATTTTTGCTAAACAGATTTGTAAATAAAAAGCAAATATGTTTTACATTAATATAATTTTTGCTAAACAAACATGTAAATAAAAAGCAAATATGTTTTACATTAATATAATTTTTGCTAAACAGACATGTAAATAAAAAGCAAATATGTTTTACATTAATATAATTTTTGCTAAACAGACATGTAAATAAAAAGCAAATATGTTTTACATTAATATAATTTTTGCTAAACAGACATGTAAATTAAAAGCAAATATGTTTTACATTAATATAATTTTTGCTAAACAGACATGTAAATAAAAAGCAAATATGTTTTACATTAATATAATTTTTGCTAAACAGACATGTAAATAAAAAGCAAATATGTTTTACATTAATATAATTTTTGCTAAACAGACATGTAAATAAAAAGCAAATATGTTTTACATTAATATAATTTTTGCTAAACAGACATGTAAATAAAAAGCAAATATGTTTTACATTAATATAATTTTTGCTAAACAGACATGTAAATAAAAAGCAAATATGTTTTACATTAATATAATTTTTGCTAAACAGACATGTAAATTAAAAGCAAATATGTTTTACATTAATATAATTTTTGCTAAACAGACATGTAAATAAAAAGCAAATATGTTTTACATTAATATAATTTTTGCTAAACAGACATGTAAATAAAAAGCAAATATGTTTTACATTAATATAATTTTTGCTAAACAGACATGTAAATAAAAAGCAAATATGTTTTACATTAATATAATTTTTGCTAAACAGACATGTAAATAAAAAGCAAATATGTTTTACATTAATATAATTTTTGCTAAACAGACATGTAAATTAAAAGCAAATATGTTTTACATTAATATAATTTTTGCTAAACAGATTTGTAAATAAAAAGCAAATATGTTTTACATTAATATAATTTTTGCTAAACAGACATGTAAATAAAAAGCAAATATGTTTTACATTAATATAATTTTTGCTAAACAGACATGTAAATAAAAAGCAAATATGTTTTACATTAATATAATTTTTGCTAAACAGACATGTAAATTAAAAGCAAATATGTTTTACATTAATATAATTTTTGCTAAACAGATTTGTAAATAAAAAGCAAATATGTTTTACATTAATATAATTTTTGCTAAACAGACATGTAAATAAAAAGCAAATATGTTTTACATTAATATAATTTTTGCTAAACAGATTTGTAAATAAAAAGCAAATATGTTTTACATTAATATAATTTTTGCTAAACAGACATGTAAACAAAAAGCAAATATGTTTTACATTAATATAATTTTTGCTAAACAGACATGTAAATAAAAAGCAAATATGTTTTACATTAATATAATTTTTGCTAAACAGATTTGTAAATAAAAAGCAAATATGTTTTACATTAATATAATTTTTGCTAAACAGATTTGTAAATAAAAAGCAAATATGTTTTACATTAATATAATTTTTGCTAAACAGACATGTAAATAAAAAAATGTTACTTTGCTTCAACTACTCTAAGAATATTTTTTAAAGATATTTTAGATAAAAGAATATTTTTGTAAAAGAAAAAATGTGATTAGTAGAGAAAAGTTAGCACTTTTGACAACTTGAAATTTTATCTGGTCTTTCGATTTTTTTTTTTAAAAACGCAAATTTATAAAATTTACAAAATTATTTAGTTAAGTTTAAAACAACTAAAAAAACATTATTTTAAA